TTTTCCCCCATCCCCCCTTCAATTTATATGTATAAACATTTAATCTATATTTACTGATAATAATTATTTATATTAATTATTTAATTTTCATATTTCTTTATACAAATATGCTTCCGTCATAACGTTTTGACGTTAATACTTTTCGGTTGAAATCGTGCCGCGCGAGTATCTGGGGCGATGGTTGATGATCCGCGCAATCGCCATAAAAATGAATAAATTATAAACACGCGTACATAAGAGTCTTTACTGTTTACGCGTATATACCATGCGACGGTACAACGCGATCATTTTTTCGCCATAGATCGTCTGATTAGATAATTCGTGTTACGGGTAATTTGTAAGAATAAATCGGAAACATTTTGTGGGTTGCAGTGATTGATGTTGTGTCAATTTTGTTCTGACCTATTTTCGTGAATATCCGTTTACTTGACGTACGTAAAATATTGGGTATTTTATCTTTCGTGTCGGACTGCAGGAATCTCTTAGAACGCCATAGCTTTGACTTTTACATTCGCGCTCGATTTATGTAAATTATTTTGTAAATCCATCGATCACAATGCTTTCGGAAATTAAATTTGTGGTAAAAGAAGTAAGAACCGTATATCTCTCTATGAGACAGAAATATAAATTTCTCAATGACGCATCACAATCGATTAGCTGCAGTGAGTTGCAGTAGGGAGCGCTTAATAGCTGTTTTCTAAATAATATTATAGCCAGATGTATTTTATACCTTTACGTGCAACATTTTCTACCATTCGAGATCGTATATGTTTGAAAAGATTAAAGACGAGTAATGTTTCTTTTTTAAACAATTAGCGCCCTTCAAAAGACCGGTACATTAAAGAATTCATTAAGAATATCTAATTATATATTCTTCTTACGAAATCTGCACACGTTAACACAAATCCGAAATAATAATCTTCCCGTTAAAAGATCCTTCAAACTACGATTTGATATAGAAATATATTACGGAGACGCGCAAATCTGCGCAAGTCGATATTGCGACGTAGTTTCCTGACATCGCGTGTGCCTAATTATATCATTTGGCAAGACTCTTAAGTTCAGCTTTATGACGATAACAATTGATAAAACACATTATGATATGACTCGTTACCCTGTATTAAATATGTATATTTGCGCTATACTTGCGCCCGAGGAGATTTTCTATTCCGTTTTACAGTCTTACTCATAAATAGCCTATTTTGTTAAAACTGAGATATCTTACGCAATAGAAAATCATAATCATTCAACATCATTCAGGATGTTTCGTACATTTTTGTTTATCAAGTATCTCGTAATGTCGTATCTTTTAATTAAAAATAGTAAATATTAATTAACATAAACATTGTTCATCGAGATTCCTTTTCATTGAGAGAGAGTAAACGTTTGCTTTTAGAACATTCTCTATTAAACGATAATTACTTATTAGAAACCTGTGCATTGACGAGTTAATGCTCACGTTGCATATGATGACGCACGGATAGAGGCATACTTTTTTATTATTGCAATGTACCAGAGTCATTATCACTTTTTTTTTATATATATATATAGAATGTCTTGAAACCACAGTTTGTTCCTTTAACTGCTATATATTTTATTTTTTAGCTAATTCGAAAAAAACATTTCTCAAATCTTAAAATAAAATTCTACTTTGAATTAAGAAAAGTAATAAAATTCAGTTTGCGAAACATTATTTCAGTTGCTGGTTTGAAAACTATCGGTTTCTCGATATTCTCGATAAGAAAAAATTGGTTTGAAAGTAACCAAAGAATCATTGGTTATATAAAAAAATATTCGATGGTTCTGGAGCATTTCGCGTATAACGTAGCAGTTCATAATTTTCTAAATTTTTCACATCATACAACGATGTCCATTTAAATGATCGAAACTTATCATGACGTATTGTATAAGTGCAACAAATTATAACTCACAACCCGTTAAATATTTTTAGTCATGTAATAAATATGGAAAAAAATATTTATATATATTTTATAGATATAACGATATGGTATGATTAAGTTAAAAAAGAGTAATTAATGACGCTGAGAGTTTGGCAATATACAGGAAGTATATGGAATTAATATCAGGACGTTTCCATATTTATATATCGCAATAATAATAGAATAATTAATTTTACTTAGAATTTATTTATTTCCTGTTTTCGTTTTTACATGTCTTACTTCCATTTTCTCATAAAACAATGACCTTGATGAACGATGATCTTTTTTGATAAAAAATGTCGAAACTTTTTTTACATAGACCGTATTTTTAGAGTAAAAAGTTTTAATGTGTTAATGTCTTCGGAAAATAAAAGATTTTACATACTCTTACACAAATTTGATAACAATTTGACACAAATGTAATAAATGTCGGATGTTTCGTGAAAACTTAACGTGTGTAATAATGCGTGTTAGTATAAAATATAATTCTACATACTTCCTGGCGTCTCTCTTATTTGATGTACGTTCGGTCCAAGTGCGTGAAACATATTCTTAATCTAATTCATAGGGTTACGCGAATCATATTTACATAATTTTATTAGTTACGTAACAACAACATTATCAAGAACGTTATTTATAATCGTTGGCTATATTCACGATAGCTTTCGTACAATCGAAAATAAAGGGAAACATAATAAAGAACAGGGGAGATATACAAAGGAACAAGGTTACGAGACAATAAAAGAGATGGCATGTCTTTTATCGAAATATCTATATATACCTAATATTTTAACTCATCAGAGTTTGAGTTTGAGCTAAAGGGGTGCGGTGATTAAAAAACACATACTTAACACAATTGTATCGCTGATGAATTGATACGTTACGCAATTGAATAGTTATGTGTAGGGAAATAATTCTTCTTTTTTTTCTACGAAAAAAACGGTCGCGATGCAGGGCGGTTCTGAGATTTTCAATGACCGTGGATAAACTCGTTGATATTGCTACGCTGGAGTAGCGCCATACACAAGAAAGAAAACAATAAATAATAAACGTTTCACTAGACTTCTATATTGCACTAGAACTTCTCTCCCACTACCTAGTAAAATGGCAAATAGGCTATTACTCTCCTATAAAATACTTATCCTCTTATGTATATGTACAATTTAAAAATTGCTACCGTTTTTTTCACTTTCAACTATTACTAGTATTTTCGTTTGCCTGGATGTATCTTCATCCTCTTTACACAAGATTTCTTCTAATGTTGGATACACATGACTATGCGTTTGGCAAATTTTTCCACAATTTTTATACCATATATTTCATTTTATACCATATATTTGTTTGATACAAATACAAATTTTTGAGACTTAAAGATAAAGAAAGTAGCAGATGGATTGTTTTAACAAAGTAAAATTTATCTGAAAGTAATTGATAATTAAGAAGTTGTTGAAAAATATAATTTATCTTTATTATCCAGTGTAAAATAACTTTATAATTAGGCCTCCATATCGTTGGTACTATTTGTTAAGAAATATAAAATAGTTGAAACAGATCTAAAAAAGCTAGAAAAAAATCTAATTTTATTGAACAAATCGTACTGTATACGATTTGCTGGAACACATATTTTATTAAATGATTACGCATCATATATTTTCTTAGAATAAAAATATTGATAAGTGAAGCTTTAAACTAATTAATATTTTACAGAATTCAATGATAATACATTTCAACTTGAAATGAACCCAAATTGAAACCGAACGAGGAGCCGAAATTTCGGATACCATCTCATGTCACTTGTGCTTAATTCTCTTCTACCTGCCAAAGTAGAGGGCGAATTTCTACAAGCAACTTTTCGGTTGGTAAACCCTCCTCAACCTGCCATTTGTAGAAAATGGATTTCCAATGTTAGCCTAAATCGAGCAAATTTTTTTCATTTTGATCACAGAGTTTGTGACTTTGAATTACCTTTTAAGTATTTTTCTATTTATAAATAACAAAAAAAAAAAACCAGATTTTATGTAATTCTAATATTATATTTAAAAGCGTCGGTCCCCGAGATTGTCCTGTATTTATTTATTAAAGTTAATATATCTCATTTTTTTCAATAAATATACATCATAAAGTTTTTTAAGATTTAAAATAAAAAATATACATATTAAATTTGCGCGCGAGATATAAAAACTTTTTTGACCTATATAGGCAAAACTAATGTTCACGAATATGTTGAAATGCGTTTTTAGTTACGTGCAAAGTGAATCATTAACGCGTATATCCAACTTTAGAAAATGTAGTGCAGAAAATTTTAACAATCGCGACTTGCAGCACGACCGTTCCGACTATATCAGAAACAGACCGTGCTTTCTCGTTCGAGAGTCGCTATTGCGTCTTATCTTCCGCGAAGAGGATGTCGATCTCATACTCGAGAACTTCGTTGTCGTTACAGAACAGCGCGATACCGACGGATTCTTTATGTCGGCGAACAGAAAGAGATAGACACGTAGATAGTTAGATATCCATCGATTTCGGATTATCCGTGCATCCGATATTAATCGTACTTTCTTGGGGAAATAAAACCGGAAAAAACTAAACCCTCATCCCGACGCACGCATGTCGCGTGAGCAAACATGCTTTTCCACGGCGCACGCGTGTTGATCTGCACAAAAGTGGAGACCGCAACGTAAGCGCCGGTCGCATCCTTGATATCGTATCAATAAGGAGATTATTATTAATCGTCGAGTCTGAAAGCAGAATATGCACCGAGACTTAAAACAACCCCCTCGTTGTGTCGTTCGCCCTGTTTCTTTTAATTTTTTGTTCTGCCTTCCTTCTTTTTTTTCTCCTTTTTACGAAAATAGTCGGCGCATGACGCATGGCGGATGCGCGGACGATCATAAAAAATACGAACAAAGTATAATTAATTCGTTTACTACGTACTACAGTATTGCTTTAATATGATATGGTACAGTCTTTTCACTGATTGTCCAATATCACTACGTAAAACATTTTTCTTAGCTCTGTTAGTTTGTTCCTCTCTCTCTCTCTCTCTCTCTCTCTCTCTCATTCTATCTTTCTCTTTTTCTTTCTCTCATTATTTCTTTCTCTCTCTTTCATTTGCCCCTTCCTCTTTCTTTCTCTAAACTTTACCCCTGATTCTTTCTTACATACGCAACACACATTCATTCGTTCATTCGCGCACTATCGTTCTCTTCACTGTTTACACTGCACTGAGCGTCTTCATTAGGATTAATATCACTTTTTCTTCGGCGCGACGTATCCGCGCGTCGTCTTTATAACAAATACGTACTTTATATTTTTATGTTTCGAGTTGTACTTTTCAAGACGCGTTGGTAATCCTTGCTCTTTGCCGTTCACTTGTCACGACAAGCTCGTCCGTGATAAACGAACGACGAAAAGTCTCTCTCTCTCTCTCTCTTTCTCTCTCTCTCTCTTTCTCGCTTTTTCAACCTCGTCGGAATTATCTCCCGATCGTGCCTTCAATGATTATTGCTCAATAAATTATTGCAATGGCGACCTAGTGATTTATGATTGTTTCCGATGTGTTATTTCGCGATATAAATGTTATCGATTTGTGACTAAGTAAAATACAATATTATAAGCTCAGAGCTGGAAATTTGTTAAGATCGCAATTGCGATTGATATGACGATCCATTCACATCGAGATTCACATCAATAGACACCATGACGATTTTATTTGGACACTTTAAAATTTCACTCTTATATATCTAATTAAATATTATTATTTTGTACTAGAGACAGTAAGACAGCCAATTTTTACTTTCAACTTTCCCATTCGTTAATTTTTTTATAATGAGAGAAACCAAGAAGATTACATATAAAATTTTTTCTTTAATATTTATTTAGTTCTTTTGCGTACTGCTTTGAACCAATTAATTATTTTATGACATTAAAGCGTAGTAACATACGCTTTAAAAACCGTTTATCTTATTTTGTATTATTAATATTAATACAGTTATACACTTACAAAAAATTATGCGATATTGTAAACAAAAGGCGAATCTTGGTAGAAATTAAACTTTTATTTTCTAGCAAAGAATTATAAAATGCTATTTCTATTGTAAATTTATTTCACATGCATGGATTATAGGATTTCGCATATTTATTTGTGAAATGTGAGAAATGATCGTGAAATCGGCGTCGAACAGCGATTTCAACCGCGGATGCCATACGACGAGGGATCGAAGGGCAAATGGCATCGTAAACTGTTTTATCGCTATCGTTGGTAGCTATCGTGTGTTTGATCTCGTGGTTTTGCGGATTGCAAGTTCGAAGACTCTTCAGACGATCTGGAGAAATACTAGCTGTAGTATTATAATAACACAGATATTCGAGTTGAATTAAATCTTGGTTCAATTGTTTTCATAAAATCGTAATACAAATCCACTTTTTGAAATAAGGAGGTGTGTCGTAATGTGCGTTTGAATTTACTTGATTACTATCTCAACATTAGAGTGTAGAGAAGATATATGTTTTTGACGTTTCTCGATTAAGGAAAAGTCAGCTAGAAGTTTCCCAATTAATAGTTAATCTTATAAAAACGGTTCATTTTACATTAGAAATCGTCTTGCAACAACTTCCATTCCGCGTGAAGAAAAACGATAATATCGATGTGATATGGATCGGACCGATTTCGATATGGATTTATATTTACTGCCATCATACCGCGATGATATCCATCGTGAAACATTCGTAAATTCCGTCACCAGCGTTTCATTGCATTGGCTGTATAACGTCACGAGAGGTAATCGTGTTCAGCTGAAGAGGAGAGAGAATCGCGAACCGAAACGGGTCAAGAATAGCTCCCTGCAACCGGTGATTCCAGAATATGCGTTTCAAGCATATTACACACGCGCAGTGATAACAAGCGACTCGTCTTCAGCCTGTGACAGCCTCGTGTACCGATATACGTTCTGCCTGTAGTATCGAGCCATTCGTTTTAGCGGCCGCGAATGACTGTCGCGGATAGATATCCCGGTGACGTTAAGTCCGACGACAATGACTCGGACAATCATCCTCACCGCGGATGTCCATCGGCGCAGTCGGGGGAAGCCCACTTTCAGAGTTTTGGGCAACTTCACGGCCAACCCTGAAACTCAGTTAGAGGTTCGGGTTTCGGCTCGAGACTGGGCAGCTGGTACGGTCAGTTCTGCTGTCACAAGCCACCCTCGGGTCAATGTTGAGCCGCGAACTTCATGCGCTTCTGCTTCTGCCGCTGGTTGCAAAACCAGACTCGCACGACGTTTTTCTTTAGGTCGAGCTTCTCCGCGATCGCCGCGATCTTCTCACCGGACGGCCGCGGCTGGACCGCGAAATACGCCTCTAACGAGCGTTTCTCTGGCGCGGCGATGCTCGTACGTTTCCGCTTCTTCTCGCCGGCCGGCAATACCGAGGGCGCGTCCGGGTCCCGTCGCTTGTTCTTCGCCTGGGCCTCCGCTTCCTCCAGCCACGCCTGGAGGATCGGCTTCAGGGCGATCATGTTGTTGTGCGAGAGCGTGAGCGATTCGAAGCGACAGATCGTCGACTGCGATAGAGCGCCGACACCTGGTAGTTTGAGATTGGCGAGCGCTTTGCCAACATCGGCCTGCGTGACGCCGAGCTTGATGCGCCGTTGCTTGAATCGCTCGGCGAAGGCCTCCAACTCGCGCGGATCGGTATCGGCGTCGGGATGCAGGCCCGCCGCGGCTGCGGCCGCGGCTGCTGCAGCCATCGCCGGATGATGGTGCGCCGGATGCGGCACGCTGCCGCCACCGCTGCCTAGGTTACTGTGATGATGGTGATGACTCATCATACCGTTCATGCCGCCGTACACGGAGGGACCGTGGATGCCCGCGTGATGCCCCGGTCCGCTACCCGTGCTGTCGGACATTGGCGTCAGTGTCGTCATCGAGTTTGCTGGATCCAGCATGTCGAGGCTTTCCATTCCTGGATGGCTCATCTGGAACACGCGAATTAAACATCTTCAATACGAGCACGCGTTATCGTTTCCTTCGAAGGAGATTTTTTAATGTTTATTATACTGTCGCGAAACATTTTTGGAACGATATGTTGAAAGTTTCAGTAGACAACTAGTTGAATACACTGATGCCGATATCCTTTGATGGAACAATACAAACATTAGTGTTTCGTCATGATAATCACCTGAATCTTAATTAGCTAATAACTATGCAAGAGTAGCCCTTACCAGTAAAATTTAGCATTTAGTACTCTTTCTTTTACTCTGTCTCTCTTTTAGAACCGAATCAGTCTTTATTTTTCAAATACTTACCCTCGTAACATAGAGCGAGATTTTGTAATGTACTTAAACGCTTCAAGACTTCTCTTTTCTCTCTTATTAATGTTTTTCTTGTGTTATTTTTTAACATGTGATATTATTAATATGATGATTAACAATATATCGATCAATAAAAGGAAATCTACAATTGACTTAAAAGATAATTGTTCGTAAATCTGTTAAACATTAATAATATTTATCTAAATTATAAATACTGGAACAAAGATATTCTTGACTATCCATTATCATAAGGTTTTTATTATCGACTGCACTATTTAATTATTAAAATGTGATATTAACAATTAAATATTAGTATCTATAGTAAAAAGGTATCTTGCAGCTAAAAAATTTGAAAAATTCGGTTCATATATGTACTGTTCAAGGAAATACGCAAGGTAAAGTGAAACGTGTAAATACGAAGGTAGACGCTGAAAGGCCGGATGCGTATCGTATCGCCGAGTTTGCGGAAATGCATTTTGATGAAGCACCATCATGGTGTGGGAGAGGCATGAATGAAGGGGATAAAAAGCAAAGTTAGGTCGAGTGCGGAAAGTGTGGAGAGAGTAGGAAATATGTACAAGCTAACACGTATAATTATGCAGCACGTGCCGCGGCCGTCGTCACGAATGCAGAACGCACCTCCAGCATAACTCTTTAGAAATTATTTATGAACTTCTTTCATATTTTTCTTCGCTTAGATTGCTGTTACATATAGGTGGCATGCTGTTAACTCGTTTTCTTAAAGCCAATATCGGATGTTACATCTGTCTGAAACGAAACGGAAAATGAATTGTCACGTGCCAAATGCGATAAATCGCGAATTAAGGACGATTAGATGAGAAAGCTATTTTTCGAAATAATGCTTTATTTGTTCGGGGAAAAAAGTACGAAGAAGGTATCTTCTATATTTCATCTGTCGTTTCTTATTCCCTTTAAATTTCGTTAACGTTTTTTCTGGGAATGTCCCAATATGCGCCTATTATGATTCTCGTCAAAGTCGCGTTGCGATTAATTTATCCAATTACCTTATCTTAATTGTTAATCTTCTTTAATGCATAATTTATTTATTCCGTCCTCTACATACTTAAGTATGTAAAGTATCACGCACACGCGTATGATCTTGTTTGCACACATGAAATCGTCTGGTCTCACGAGAGTATACTGAATTAACTAGACGCCACGCTTTTGACCGTGGGGACAGGACATGTAATTAGAATTAGTTCACGCGTATATTTCAGATAAAATTGTTCTTCATACACGTACGATAAAGTCATTAAATGATAATTTATATCGCAAATGACAGTGACTATCGATATAGCATGCGATCTCTTATGGATTTTAGTTTAAAATGGCTTTATTCTTTTAAAAGGATAGACATAAATGATAAATATCAAAATCTATTCATATAAAATATTTAATTCATATAAAATATTTAAACACATGATGAGATGCGTACGAATTATCTGTTGAATCCACTCTTAATTAATAAGTACATTTATATTTAAATCCCAATCTCTGGTGTTTGCTTATATTCTGCATAAATTATTCTTAGCTTTGAACGCGGAACTGCGTTGTATCGCGTTCGGGTAGTACGTAACGCGGAGTATATAACGCCGAAATCACTATAAAAATCGCTACTAAAAATATCCACGTCGTTCTCAATCCGGCCATTACCTCACGTACATACGTAAGCGCTTACACGACCTCGCCGAGGTTCGTACACGTACACGTACACGCGTAGGCAACACGCGCATCATCTATTCTCATGAGAACGGCAGTATAGTGAGCTAACTGGATGGCACGGTTTCGGTCGGCGATGGTGCCCTGGGATAGCGCAGTTACATCAGAAATGCAGGGGGGTTGCGCTGCACGGACACTGGCGCGGGCAGCGTGGAAAAGGCAGAAGGTGGAAGCTTCGGGAGCACCGGCAGCAAATATACAAGCGTACGGGGGGAGGGGGAGGGATGAGAGGGGGGTTTTGTCGGGGGTTGTCGGGGGTGGACTTGCCCAGGGGCGTACGAGGTAGGGCCCGAGAGACCTGCGCAATATTTCATCATTACGCTGACACGATGGTAGGGTTAGCCGGCTCCTATGTTTTGCTCTTTCTCCTTGCTCTATTGCCCACCTCACCCCTAATTTTTCTTTCTTCCCTCCTTGTCCGTGCCGCGTTGTATCCGTTCCGCGTTCCCGATCCGCGCGCACACGCTCACGCGTGCCCGCATAGCTGTTTTTACATCAGCTCGACGCCTGTTTTTGCCTTTCTATTTTTGTCCTTCTTGCCTACTATATATACGCGCACTTAAAACCGAATTATTTCTCGCTTTCTTGTTATTACTTGTCACTCCCCCCTATATATCTATCCTCACGTACGCATGTTTTCTTCAAAACGGTGCCAAAATACCGCGCGTGCTTATTAAAACTCAATAATGCTCTTGATCGAGCGTAGTTTGAAAGTGTTTTTATTGTACGAAGCTGCATATCCAATTGAATAGCTATGGGATTTGATTTTCTTGGTCGCTGCTCGGTCATTGAAATTTAGATTATTTGCACGTAACTCTATTACAGAATTTCCGAAATTAGATTACACGTAAAATCATATATCTCACAACGAGACAAATTAATAACTGTAATTTGTTAAAGCTGAGTATCGATTTCGATTTTCTTTATAATACATATTTGTAAAGATAATTATATACGTTTATGGAAAATGTACATAATTTTCAAAACATTCGAAAATACAAGATTATTGAGGTAGTTTTAGTTCAATTTGTTAGAATTACGTTAGAATTCGAGGAATAGCAAAATGAAAAATGAAGTCAGAGAATTGGATTTATTGTCTGAAACGTATGACTTAAACAATGTCGCACAAATGGCGCGATAGATGATCAAATTAAAATACAATGTTCTAAATAATGTGTATCTAAGTGGAGTCGAGGAAAATCAGAGGAGGTGATTTATGACGATAAAATCATGTACGCAAATCCCGCAGAAAGCCGGCACGCGAGAAGTTGAACAAAACCCATATTGAACCCTCGCCGCAGATCCCGTGGACCCTTAGAATTCATTGCGTTCTATTAAGGAGGGAAGGGGACATTACAAGCAGTCACGACACGGAGATAATATACAAGCAACACGCCCCTACATTTGAGAAGATCATTCCGGATCGATGCGCATTGGTTACTCGGTGGCACCCGTCGTTCTCTCCCGTCGCGTCGTGCTCTTCTCATCAGCATCAGATTGCTCAGATTAGCATAAGGCACACGAGGCAACAAATTGAAACGCAATTCGCACACGAAATCATACCTGTATATATCGTATCCATCTCTAAACGACATAATCACGCCGCGACTGCTGTTATCGCACGATTATAAACGACGGTTGTAAATATAATGCGGCTTATTAACCATTAAAACGCAGGAAATTAAAATCGTTGTCTGCATTGTTCGCGATATTAACAAATAAACTGCGTAAATTGAATTTTTCAATCTGCCGATTAAATATGAATTCAAAATTAATTGCTGCGCGTAATTAATTATTGGCAACGATTTTAACTGACCGTTGGATTCGTTGCATTTTATGGATGTACATACCGTTCCCGGTTTGTGTATGGGGGAGTTACGAAACGGCAGCAGCGGCCTTTTCAGCTTTTATCACGATAATTATTCCGCGCGAACAATATTATACTATTCTTTTTTTATTATCAACGATATCGTTGAATCTCTCAATGTAGTTACGATATCTAATACCAGATATAAGAAAATAGAAATACAAAATGCGTAAATTACTCGACCTGATATGCAGTTAAATATAGTCGCGACATTCGCGTATTTTGCATAATATTTAAACGGCTTTAGATCGCGCGATTAATATTTTCGTTTTTCTATTTTTTTTTTGCAAAAGAAAGAGAGATTTTTCTCTTTCAATGAGAGTTATTGATTCGTAAAGTGTGCATCTTTGTAGTTTATTGACATACCGTTGCATAAGATAACGTTCACTTTGCAGCATTATAGTGTCATTGTATTGTAGGATGCAATATGTACGATAGAGAGAGAATAATATATCAAAAATGCAGACTCACAAGGAGGTGTGATTGTACCTGATGATGTGGCCGGTTATTCGGGTGGGGGGTAGGCATGTGTGCTCCGTGATGATACACAGATACGGGATCGTGCTTTAGCGGCATCGGCGTCCCGGCGTTGTGCTTCCCCAAATCTGCTGCCAAAGCTTCCGCTCTTGAAAGTAAGCCATCTTGCAGACCGCTATTCAAGCCACTGAATAAATCACCCTGAAACACAAAGTGCATAATATATCATCGATTAAAGCATTAAATAACGTTTTGTTAAACAACTCGAACTCAAATAACTCGAATAGTATATCTATTATAACATACATTACGATCTAATTGCAACATGCATTTACCTAATTTTTGCCATTCATATGTTTGCCACAGTTACTTTTAATTTACAACATTTAAAACAAAATTTGCTGTAATTAATATTGCATTAATTTTTGAACAATTTTAATTATTGAATATTAATGCGATTTTTGTAGTAATTAAAAACCATTATCCAATATTACCAGCGATACTTTTGACTTGTAAATTATAACTGCGCGCAAAGAAAGACAGATTAAACATTGTAATTGGCAAATGTAAACTAATTCACTTTATACGATTATAGTGCAGATGATTAGTTATTATTAGGACAGCCTATTATTTATTATATAAATTCTTATTGAATTTAATCCGTTTTTGACGTTGTCTGGGCAACAGTGAGTTTGTATACTGGACGGCAACATGGCTGTGCGATCGATATCCCAAAAATAGTTTTGTTATCCGAGATGTTCGCGTTTTGCGAGTTTTTTAAGTTCAGGCAAACAAATTCTCTATTATTTAGCTTGAATTTTAAAGTTTTCTCAGGACTTTCTATTATTTTATTATGCAAATTTAATTATCATTTTTAATTAAGCAAATAAATAAAATTCTTTTTGTTATTGCGCATTAATACTTATTAATTTGATTCAAACAAACATATGATATATTGTAAATGTATGCTGCAAAGAGATATTTATTATTTAAAAATAATAGCTTATCTGGAATAATAGCTCAACATGTATTTAAGTGCATGTATTCAAAATTTTGAAAAATTATTTGAAATGATAAAAGACTACAGAAATTACTATAGAATGCACATGATATTGCGTTATATATAAACTTTACATTGGAATATTAAATTACTTTTCCTCGAGAAGACGAGTTTATCCGAACGGCAACTTGCGAATGCGCAGCCTCGTAAAAGGTTACAAGTTTCGTCAAAACATCTACTCGTCGTGTGAACTACGAACATGTTGCCGCAAAGAAAAAGTATCTTTAACTCGGTAAGGAAACGTTTCGGATTCCACGTTTATATAACCCTTCTAAGTCTTAAGATGAATAGAATAAGAATTCTAAAGTTTGGCCATCTTTTACGGAATTATTCCGTGTATGACAGAAAAATAATAACAAGAAATAATTTTTTATGCGGATCAATCTACATTTGAAAACTGAAAACAATTCCCATAATTAACGCGGGATGTTCGATACTAAAGATTGTAGATTATGTTTACATATATAGTATTTTTTAGTTATACATCAAAACGACAGATATGTATATAATTGGAAAAACGGGGATATTTGCACGGATTAATGGCATTAGATTACGATCCCCCCCGAGCCCGGTAACGTCATTGTATTAGCGCGTGTACACATGCCCTATGATGTTCGGTAATCAAATTCATCCGTTACACTGGAATCGATCCGAAGGATGGATACTTGACCGAGTCCCCCTCGGGACGGTGGACAGAATATATCCGTCAGTATCGCGCAGCGGTGGCGAAACTGGACGAGCCGGGGGGAGGATCATCTCGATTCCCTTTCGCGTGTTTGGAGATCCGGTCCCCCTCGGCGAAGTCAACATTTAATGGTAACGAAAATAGCTTAAACTACGCTACGGCGAAATTTATGAGCAGCGCAAAACGGAGTAACAAGGGGGGTGTGATTTCATTTCATGGCGCGTTATGTGTGAAGGGGGTTGAATTCAAAATTCCCTTTTTACAACCTGCTAAAGGAAGAATTTCGTGAATGCATAATCTCATGCGTATTCTGTATTAATTTCTCAGACATTAATGTTTCTCGATCGATATACATTATATGTAATTTTTTAATTTTTAATTAAATTATTTAATTTTCTTTCTTCTATCGTTTTTTTTTCGAGAAAGAAAAATCATAAAAGTTTTATTTACTTGTAACAATATTATTCTAAACTCGATAGGGCATCACGATGGATTCTGCTGACGTAAATTTGTATTGATGCAAAAGTAATTTAAATTTATGTAACTTAATATCGATTACTGTATACACATCGACTTTGTGACTGCAGCTAATTTGTTTCCACCTATACACTTTGTTATTGATTAAAGCAACTCTTTTAGGAGGATATCTTAATGAAAGCTATACATTGCATTCATAGCCTTATATCACTTAGACTTGCCTGTACACCGTGGTGAGATCGATATTATATGGGACATTCCGCATCAACTACATCTGTCACTTGCGACATGTTACTATGTTCGATCTACGTTCAAAGAATTCACAGTAAGTCGTATGTAACTTGTAACATGCCTTTGAAGCCATTTCAACAAAGATATTTTTTATAAACCTACGTTTGAACAAGATTTGCATCTTTTTACGTTAATATGAAGTTAAGCCGATTTTCAATCGCAAAATTATACAATTATGGTACCACATAATAACATTTTATGATATAACAAGTTATTAAACATAATATATAATGACACAATTCTTAGCGTAAAGATGATTTTTTATAATAGTAAAAGGTGCAATTAATGATGTTAATATTTAAACAATATCAATATATATTACTAAATATTATCTATCTCATCATTGTCTCAATGATTTTACGTGTATAACGAATTACAATGCATAATTTAAACTATTTCTGTTGTTTAGTGGGTTTTTCTTCTATTAAGTAATAATATTAAGTATAATTATTGGTTTTCTATTCGTATGAAGATGCGCTATACCTGTTATTTGATATTATTGTTGTGTGAATCGTTAATCGGCTAAACTAATTCCCAAATATGAACAAATGAGTTTGCTGGATTCTCTATTTAATATGTTGAATAATTTATTATTATGAACGTACGTAAAAATTGTTACTTAATACGTAGAAACTTAAAATCTGTTATCGACCCTTTCTACGTATTAAGTAACAATTTTTAAAGATTCTTTTTGATGATAAAAGTATTTTGAATATTAAAAAATATTTATGTACGAAATCCACGATATCCACGCTTTCTGGTTAAAATCCGTTACGATAAAATAACGAATTGCAGTGTCGCGCAATATGTTTATCTAACAATGACTGATTAGCAGTGACTTAATGCGAATGCGTATTAGCCATCTGTACAATCACAATTGATAAATTGCGGCATGTCAAGAATAATTTCAAATAACCAGGTTCGAATGTTCATACATACAATCTAAAATTATGATTATACATATACATATAAAATGTACATTGTTTCTTCTGCTATTTAACGTTATATTTTATGCGGTTGCTATATGAAGTAGTGGTGTCTTTAAAAGTTTTATTATTCTCTTCAACAACCCTTTATTTTCCGTAACCCCCCAAGCCTGCCCCTGTCCAGATTAATCCGAAAGAGTTATCAAAATATCGTTAGCTTGGTTGAGGCAGGTAAAGCTAAAAGTGATTCACTGCCCACTTATTTCATTACGACCTGTAATGTCCGCATTGCCCGATCAATGTTTCATGCGGAAACCACTGGCGTGTTCCAGCGCTTCGATTATTTATGAACTCCTCGTGTCTTCGTCGAGTACGGCGTACCTACAGGCTGTCTCTAGGTTGCTGAACTGCCGTCACTCTTTTTAATTCCGAAATTTCCCTCTCGCCGTCTTGTCATTCGTTGTATTTTCCGTAACGAAATGCGGAGCAGCATTCCGCCAGAGTTGACAATCAACATGTTAGTGAGAGGAGAGATACGAAATGAAAAATGTACGATATGTCCTGTTTGTTACACAGATATACCTATATAAATTATTCGAACTTTGTACACAAAACAAAATGAAAAGAAAAATTTTTAATAGAAAGCAGATGTTAATTAAGTTTTGTCTGTACCACGCGATGATAAAAAGCTCTAAAGATTACTGAAATTTGTTTTGAACTTGATTTGTAAAAAAATGAAGAAAAATACCAATTTTACAAAATAAATTTGATAAAGCACTTCGCTATATTTAAGTGTGCAAAAGTACGGTTGAAACAATTTTGCGTGGAGATATTAATGTGTGAGACATAATAACTTCCTGTAGGAAGTTGTGTGTTCACAATGACGACGTTTTTCATACGGACATGCTGCTTAATCGAAACATTAGCAGGGCAATGAATCACGGTTCACGGCTAAGGGGCAGGACGCGATGGACCCTCTTTTAACGTAACACTTGAACAGTGGTCACTCGATCTTCATGCGTGCGCACATATACGTGTATATACAAGAGTGCAACGGTCGAAATTGCCAGAGTTGGGGAAGAAGATTCTAAAGTATCTTCCACATTATTATTCTTTTTTTATTTGTATTATCAACGAATCAAGTCTTTTTTGCGTTCACATTTCGTCACCTGAATTAATCGAAATTAATTAAAGTGCCGAGCCTTTATCTAGGATCATTAATTAGAGAGCTAAATATTATCATAGCACACATGCTATTAGTGTTGATTGTCGTGATGATAAAAAGAAACAAATGTCCCTCCTCGCCGTCGTTCTTTTTTATATATGTATACAATGCTTTACGCTTAAAAAGGATTATGAAATTATGCGCGCACGTTGTTAAGTTACCATAATAATTATAACATAAAACATTTGTATATTGTGAATGAAGCTTAATGGTGCCACCGAGGATACAGATTGCTCTTATTAGCCACATAGTTAACACTTCCTGCTGTTGTTTAGCAAAGTTTCTTCCCCTTTACGCGATTCTCTACGTCGTCGCGGTTAATAGAGTCATTTTTCGATGCGGCCGACCCCACGCGGTCGAGATACGTCTTCTGGAAGTAAGGTATTATGAGGATTAGGCAATTACAATTGAATTATCAGACCCTTCAGGTTCTCTCCACGTAATTTATCCGAAAAGCGACGGTAGGTCTGATTAAGTGGCTAACATATAACTGATAACAAGACCGTGTATCACGTAGGATTGTATCAGTAGCTTTTGGGATTAGGATTTAGGAAAAGCGATCCGAAAGAAGAAGCGCAGGACAAATAGTATTAATTTCTCACCTCGGTTTCACGTTTTCCCGAGAATTATAATGTTTGTATTATAATTTTTCTTGATGACTGATATTATTTTTAAGAAATATTTATTATATAATTAATGATGTTTTGATTGTATGTACAGCAAGTTACCGATATCAAATACGTATTACTAGATATTTTGTTTTATTAATCTTCATATTATGTTAACTACTACAAAGAGGGTTTAAGATTGTCGCGTTAAATTTCAGGATATAATCCGAGCGTGTTCTTTTTCCGAGCAATCCTCGATGTAAAAGCGTTAGCAAAATAAGCCGATTATATCGCGGCGTAGTCTCTACATAATTGATTCGTATCAGATGCGCATAATCGTTTGTCTATCAAGGCTCACTGTTCCTTGGAAAATCGTATTCCCAGAAAACCAATTCCCTTAATCCACTTCGTTCGGGAAGCAGACGAATGCAAAATTAGATGTGCCCCGGACACATCAATATGGTACATAAACCTCCGAACGTGTGCACAAAATCAATTAGCAATTAAAGCTCAGTCGTGTCTGAGCCAAGCGGTTAGTCAGAGAGCCGTCCGCGAGAGAGATTCGATCGATAAATGCCGCCAAGTAGCGCATCCGTCGCGTCAATAAGATACGAATAGCACGGCATCAATACTAAAAGGGGCGCATCAGCGGCGAATGAAAAAATAAAATAAAATCTCGTCACGCGGCGTGCGGTTCAATTACGTATCGTCCGTATATACGAAATTGATTAGCGATCAGCTCGCGGTTACTATACGGATCCGAATGCGGAGTGCGGAGAGAGAGAGAGCGCGCGCCACGGACCCCGTCGGCTATCGGATATCGCAAATTGGGACAATTACGTTATTTCCGTCCGATAACCTACATCACGGAGTAGTCTGATGCATGAATAAGTAAATTCTTCCAGAAAATCTGACGTCTGACACGAAAACGGGGAGACTGTTCAAATTATCACTTGCATGGCGGAGTACCTACTGTCTAGAGTAAAGAACATTATTCGTGGGCTTCTCGCGCTGTGGGTCCATCAAATTCAGTTTCATTCGTAGCGCAGACGCGACTCGACCCCGCGGCCGCCGCCGCCGCCGCCGCCTCCGCCACCGCCACCGCCGCCACCACCATCGCCGCCACCGTCACCGTCACCGTCACCGCCGTTGCGCCGCCGCCGCCGGAGCGGGTATCATCGATTTATAATAGCGCTGTTACGCTCCGCTCCCTTAACGACATTAATATTAAGCGTTGCTATTGTCGCTAATACTATCATATTAACGTCTTTTTATGTCCGTGGCGCCGAAGCGCGCCGACGACGCTGCGACTTGCGTCTGCATCTCGTCCCTGGTATTATTTGTTGTTAAATCTGCATTATCGATTTCCATTTCCGTTGCGTTCGGTCATTCTGTTGCGGTTCCATCGTATTATCGTCGCGTATTGTTTTGGTATCATCCAATATTGTTACATATGTATCTAACGCGCCATCTCCCTGCGTGTCATCTTTATCGATAAAATGTTTTCCACAAATTTACGTGATCGCATGTCTTCCGTAAATCGCTTATCCATTATCATGCAAATGTACGAAAAACACAATACACTGATAGTACGAATACGTGCGGCCATCGAGAGAAGAATGAACGAAGAGCAACGAAAAGCGGCGGGATCGCGTTGACTCTTGTCGTAGCGCCGTCGCCGCGGGTATCTGTTGCATCCGTGCGGCGAGCATAAGTGACACATAGCTCTTTTTACGGCACTCGACTATCCTGCATCGCCTCATCGTATATCTAAATAATCAATTTACTACTGGCCATAATCGTAACCACGAGTTAGCGAGTTTATGCGAGCCCGGCCACCGTAACTACGTGGCTCCGTAAAACATAAATATTATGGGGCATTTCGTATACAGCAACAGTCTCATAATCTCTTTCTCTTCTCCTCTTTCTCTCTGCTTCTCTCACTCCGTTTTTCCTCCTTCTTGCACCGTGTATTGCCTCTTCTTTCCCCTTTTTCTGCCACATCTCTTTCTTTTTCTCCATTTATAATTCTGAGAGAGTGAAATCTATAATTGAATTTTCACTAACGAAAAGTTATCAAATTCTGTAGTAAGAATCTCCCCCTTATGTGACAACAAGTTTTTTCATATAGTTTATATATAGGTATCTCGTTTACACGAACTTTTACGTTTACGGTAATTGCGCTTTCTTTATTAACTTTATTGGATTCATTTAATTATGATGAAGGATCTAAATAAGTATAGTATAATTTGAAGCAGAATATATATTTGGAAGTATTCAATATCATAAAAACATTGATTTAATTTTTAACATTATTTCTGGAAATATACAGATTATAAAACAGAAAATAATAAATATAATAATAAATTAATCTAAATATTATATATACATATATGTATATCTGATAAATCTCATAAGTTTTTCATTTATCAAATTTATAATGTTACAATATTACAAGTACAACGTAACAAAATTGTCGTACATGTTATACGAATCTAATTATTAAAAAGACGACACGTGATGTATAACTACATTGTCTCGTCTGAAGACGATTTCAAATAATCGGGTTGTTCTATTAAAATTATGTCACAGCGACGTCCGTCGTTCCGTAAAGATGTAATTAATCCGTCTAGGCGCTTTATTAACTACCTTCTAAATAAGTCTATGATTAATGAAATAGCTGATTTTTCTCATAAATTACATCGCTAATAATAACATCTGTCTCAATAACGCGAAAAGTCAAATCATTCGAATTAATTCCTAATGACGTGCACAGAGAAAAAAAATAGAAAAAAAAAAAAAAAAAAACGTAATTTGGTACTCACATTATGCCTCGGTGACCAAGAATTGCACACAATGGATGCGTCTTCGAATATACGACTCTGCAAAACGAAAAAAATGCCATTTCTCATCGGAGTCAAGATTTTCTTATAATACAACACAAACCAATTTCATTTAGATAAATGTTAAATATACTTTTTCTTTCACGCAGAAATGGCGGCACACGAGATGAGAATCTAAACTAAACTGAAAAACAGAAAGACAAGGTTTAAGCGCCAGTTTGTAAATATATTTAAATGTGGATAAACAATTATTTAATATGTTTCATTGTATAGGAAAGACTGGAGTTTTACGCTAATTTGATTGACGAATACTTTGATTACAGTGAATTTAACATTAACATGATGTTCTTTTTCCCAAAATTAATCATCAGTTATTTTTTTTATTTTTGACAATACGTGACATGAATGTTACAAATGTGTTTTGTTAGACTTGGTCTCGTTCCGTTCTAAAACTCTAGTGCTCCCTTTCCTATTATAACAAAAAAATCCGATGTAATATATCATTAACTGTCTGTAATAACAATTCCATATTGAAACAACGTGCGCGACAGGACGGTGGAAGTAAAATCAACATCGGATTGTCGGACGTATCACGGAAATGTACATTTTGTTAGCGCAGATCTATGTTCGACAAGGGATGTCACGCGGCGGTTCTAGAGTCCCCACGTAGACCACGTAATAAATTTCAATGCGCGGCTAATGACCGTAGCCGAGAAGTATTTTCATCCGAGTGGAAATCGAACGTGTTACGCGATTTACCTGTCAACGGCACTTAATATTTATCTCGTCTGCATATTTTATTTTTGCCGATCGCCGCAGCACACGCACGCGTGCGCGCGACACACGGGGTCGCGGGCAATTGTCCGCATATACGTCTACACATATACGTACGTGTCTACATACGTCTGCGATATACATACGTATATACATTTATATTATATTTAAAGCGAAGCCGAAAGATTGACAGAATCGGGGCATACCGGCGTCGCGACGCCGTCGCAAATTAAATGAGTCATTTTAGGATTCGCGCAGAACTAGGTAATTCAATATCGTCCTTATTAAAGCGTCGGCCAATTCTGCACTCGCGCGTTTTCTTGATGACAAAATGATTATGTCATTACGGGCACCGAGACTAATATGAATACATCACTCTTCCGAAGCGACGTACTTTATTAACGTGTCACACGTTCCAACGCGTCCGTGCGACGATACTTCGAATCGACGTGTACGCACAATATATCATCGAGCTTCGATTGCAGATATACGTGCCACTCAGCGCGCACATTCGACATGATTTTTCAGTCATTTGTTATCTTCCGCCAAGGTGGTGTGATATCGACGCCGCTCCGCTTTTATACGTCCGACTGTCAAATATTCATCGAGATAACCGTAAAAAGATTTAATAGATAGAACCTTATTTTCCCCCGTTGATTTTAGATGGAATTTAATGATACCTCGAGACTTGGTTACCGAGATATTTTTAGTTGAAACTTGAAGAATTATGAAAAATGTGGCGTCTTTTGTTTCGGCGAATATCAATGTCGTATTTTTGCGCGATTGTCAAACGCTTATTGACGATATTATCTCGCCGTGTCATCCATTTGCCGCCTTGGACAAGATATATCGTATAATTCGATGTTGTTCGTTTTCGATATTTTCAATAATACATCTCAACGATCTGAAAAGATATGATTGACATTTTGTATATGATTATTGTTTCATCAACAGGATATAGTTTAGCTTTAATATTTCTCAGTAGCACACACATACACATACAGATAACCAAATAACACGAACAGAAACACCATGGTTTTTCGAGTTCCTCCGAGTTTTCTTTTTATCTAAGGATAAAAATCAATGTGGGTAAAATTTTCTTTTTTTAAATGTTGTAAATATTTCTCTTTTACGATAAAATACATCTCAGGAAATATTTGAAACACGTCGTTAAAAAATGTTACCAAAATATTTGGTCGAATAAATTAATATCGTTTAAAACATTCAATTGAAATATTTGATAAATTAATATCGTTTGAAACATTCGTCACGGTACAGAATTATATAGTATCAGCAATTTAAATATATGGATACTCGTATAAATAATGTTACTCATTATGAGGAACTATATAATAAGTAAAAAAATAAAATAAAAGAGTAATGTCTTGTGACATTGAATAAAAGACAAAAAGATATATTTGAACACCAGAGCAGATTTAAAGAATTTAAATGTGCAGCACAAAAAAACATTTTTAAGATTTTATATATGTTCATAACAAAATTTTCACTCTCTTAGAAAACATAAAAAAGATTGAAAATTATTTATTGTTCTGAATATCTCTAAAACGTTTAAGAAAAATCTGTGTCTTAATGTTTGAAAATGTACACTTTCTTCTTCTTTCAATTTCATCGATAAGAGAATTATTCTAAAATTAAAATCATTGGTCGATTGATATCGGTCGTGGGCGGAATGCTATACTTACTATTAGTCAAATTCTTTGAACAAGGATAATACGCTTACGCAACAATACGCTGTGGCGCATTAAGCATCGCGCGCTATAACGCACGTCATCTCTTAAATTCTATGTACGATTGTATGTACGCGGGTGAATATGTTACGTACGCGTGTGCGCATTTGTACAGAGCGCGATGGTAGGAACGTACATCGTGTATATATCGAGATACGTGTGTGTATTGCAGCGCGTAGTACGAGAGCTACGCAGTGCACATCAGCCACACAAAAGCTTCGTTGCATCGGCACGTTGTGTGCGTAGCGGCTCTGTGTCTGTACACGCGTGTGTGCGAGTGCGTGTATATATATATGCGCGGAAGCGCCTGTGCCATGACGCGAAACACATTGCGGACTCGCACGAGTAAACAGACGCAGTCGAATCAGTTTGCCCGGCTAATTGATTTTCCTTCACATGGCCGATGCCGCGCTCGCGCGCTTCGTGCGCGCGTAACGGCGCGGCGCGGCGCGGCGCGGCCCGACTCGAATATAGAGAGACAGTGCAACGCGCCGTACAAATCCAATCCGAAACTCTCGTTTGATTATCAAGCGAATTCCCACGGCCGATTGTAAATCAACTGCTGTACCGTGCCGGAGGATCATACTGATGCTTTAGATTGGACGGTATGGCGTGGTGCACGAATATCGAAAATTTGACCTTTTTCGCGGCGAGATGTGCACGGTGAAAAATTTGATTGAACATTGTCGCGGGGCGCGGCGGTGTGAAGCGCAAAATGCCGAACGGGCGTTCCTGACAGAGAAAAATTTGCTTTAAATTTGATGTGTTGTGATATACTCATAAAATAAGAAAAATCCTTCAGTTATTGATGTTGTCTATTAGTATCAACAGTTATAAAGAATAACAATTTTTGTAAACGACAAACAATGATTTCTGCCCTAGTAAAAGAATGCTTGTATAAATTATTTATAAATTTTGTTTGATCGCAAAGCAGACAAGCGTGATGTTATAAAAATATTAGACAAATTAATATTGTCTAAATTGTGATTAAAGATAAGTGAGCAGTGTTATCGACTGTAGAAGATATAAAAAATGTTAGACTAAAACAGATTTTTTTAACATCTTTCCCGAAATAGAGCAAGTTTTCAGCTATTCTAAAAACTTATCGTAAAATGTATCGAAGCAAAGCACAGCACAGGGTCGAATCATATTTATAAGAACTTAAGGTCTTATTGATAAGGAAATTTAAAAAATACAAAGTTTTCATATAGTATAATAATTTTAGCATCCTCCTCTCCGTAGAGAGTTGTTAAATGCGAGCAACAAAAGCGTTAAAGAAGCGAAAGATATAAGTTGGCTGTTTAGAATGCTACAAATGAATTCACTGAATAATGCAGAATGGTAGACGGTAACTGTACGAGGGCAAGTGTCTCCGATTATAACAAAAGTGAGGGGCTCGCAGCTCGGCTCATTTGTTATTAACCGGCGCGAAGGAGCGTTGAAGTGCAGAAAGACTTCGAACACGACTTCACACTTTGACTCTCGTGGCCCTTGGTAACTTTAGATAATTACCGGTGAAACTTCCGCGAAGAATCTTACGTACTTTCTCGCAATATTCCCGGAGTACGTTCTCTCGCGATTTATCGTCAATATCGATAACATTGTGTTGCGCGAATTGAGGCAAAGTGAATTCTTTTTTAGCGGAATATAAAAACAGAAGCATTTGTTTTTGTCAGTAAAACCATTGTAACGAAGGGATATCTTGTATAAATAATCTCTCGAGGTGTATTTATTTGATATTCTAAAATATTTATCTGTGATAAACGACATCGGAAAAGATATCAATCATCTTTATTTGACACGCGGATTGCTACTTTTCTGCCATTTCTTAATTTTCCTTACTTTCTAAATGCAGATTCATTCAATAATGATAATAATTCATCCACGTTATTTTTTGTCTATTCTCCGCAAATAATAGTTAATTGATACATTGTTTCTTCTCAGCTTGTCCAATTATTCGCAATCATTTTTCCGAGATTAATCGTACGAACAACATGAAGATAGAAAATACGATCGGGTAGGAGAAAAGAGAAACTGATCGTCGGTGCCGTCGTCGCGCAAAATATGGAACGGATAGCTAGCTATGTAGATTTAGCCTGACACGGCTCATTACGATTTCAGGCGAAAAACACGGGTCTTGAAGCGCGAATCGTCTAAGAGATCGCTAAAGGGAATTTATGAAATTTTCTAATTTAATATTCTGTCTCTCTCCCTCCTTCTCTCTTTCTCTTTCTCTCTCTCTCTGTCTCTCATTCACTGCCGCCCCACCGTAGTTCCTCCGTTAACTCTTTTCGTGGCGATTTTTTACTCTCAATGCGAAACCCAATTAAGACTTCAGAAACGACATTTCGCTACAGTCGCGCTAACGAAAGGCAGAATAAATTAATGCGATTCTGACAAAATTCGGACAGGGCTCTTGTGCGATCAGACGTCGTGCTTTTCCGTCGTTTCTAATATTATTCCGCTCGGTTTTGCGTCTCGACGTTTAATAAAAATGTAATGCTTCGAAATCGTCTC